GGAGAAGTCATATTAACCAAATTTTTCAATCATCATAAAGTTATGAAAAATCTTGATCTAAGTGAGTATTATGATTCAGAATACACTGAAACGGAATCATCCGGCTCTGAAACTGAATCAGAGGATGAAGATGGTTATAGTAATAATATGACTCCTCTGATGATTATAGGTACTCTAACTAGTCCAGAGCAGTGATCATCAGCTCAGAAGAATTTGCTGATCCATGCACAGCATCTGTCTCTTTTCGAATGAATGAAAAAAAAGGAATTTAAAAAAATTTCAATAAAGAATTCAAGTCGAAAATTGCTATACATTGTATCAAATATATTTTTCGTGGAATATAGAGACGTATTGTGAATAAAAAAGTGAGACCTAAAGTCCCACTTGGATAAAATGCATTTAAATAAATCACATTCTATATGAAAGGTATTATCGAATATGCAATCTGAACTTGATTCATTGAAACAACGCGTCATCAAGCTTCTGGCTGAAAATGCTGAGATTAAGGCCGAAAATGTCAAGGTTAAAGCTGAAAATACTAAATTAAGGCAGGCTATGGAAGAAAATGAGGCCAGATTCGTAAAACTAGAGCAGAGCGATAAAGAAAAGGCTGAGCTCATTGCAGAACTAAATTGTGATGTTGGGAAAATCAAGCAGGAGCAAATTGCTATTAATCTTTCAGTGCAAAGTGATACGTCTATACTGAAATCTCCAATTAATTCAGAATCACAGGTAACTTCCCAATCATTTGTTTTGCTACCTATCGAGGATAACTCTAATGTGGAGAACAGTCCCAGTGTAGTTCAACCTATCTGTTTATGGACTAAGTCATTGGAAGAAAAAGAGGATGATGAATTCATAGATTCGGCATATAAGGAAAAAGTTAGCAATGAAATAAGGCAACGCAATAGGGAGAAGAAGCTTCAACGTGATTTGACTGCTCAGGACCTGGCTACTGCCAACGATCAGAGTCATGTGATTTCTGAAAATTCAGAAAGTCTAGAGGAAACTGTGACAAATTTGTCACGATCAGACTATGTACACACAAATACCTCCAAAGTATCAGGATTGGAGCAGGATGATGAAATTGATGTGGTTGACACAAGTCAAATTATAGAACAAGGTCTAATTCAAGAATTGATTCAGAATCAATGCGAAGTAACCTGCCAAACTGACTCCATATCCTCGGATGATGAAATTAATAAATCTTGTATTCAGGATATGGAAAACTTAATTCCAGGCTCTGTAGAAAGTTTATCATGTTTGTTTGATAAAGCGATTAAAAAGGGCCAAGAAGAAATTTTGTGTTGGTATTATTATTCACTTGAATTCGAAAATAGAGTTAAAAGTCTTATAGCTAATGGTAGTATTAAGGACAAAACAGCATGAACAAAAATATATAAGGAAATGAAACCCTTTTTACCTTGCATCACAGATGCAAATTTACGTAAAAAAACTCAGAGATCCCGAAAAATTCTTAAATTATTTGGAGAAGAGGGGGTGGGTATTGCTAAAATCAAGCAGATCACATATAGCGCAAGTAGTATTTCAGGACTAACCAATGCTCAGATTAAAAATATATTAGATCATGTGACTTTAAAAACCGTGACAAATTTGTCACGATCAACCCATAAATCTCCGAAAATTAAAGTAAATACTCTGGCCAAGTCATTAACTTCTGGCCCAAGTGCATTGGAGACACAAGCGAGAAGGCAAGGCTCTGAGGTTAATATATCGGCAAATGTATCATCTGCATCTCAATCTAAACCAACTCATGACCGTACTTATTTTCGCAATAAGACATTGGATCAATATCCTAATTTATGTAGGGAATTTAGTAGTGAAAATTTTGATTATTATGGCATTACTGATGAGACATCGTGCCCATTATGCAAGTTAGATCATAATGATGAAGAAAGTATAGAAGGTAGATATACATCTGGATCTTATTTTATTAAATGTGAACAGCGTGAAATTAAGATAACTGCATAGTCTGACCAGAGGCACTTCGCATTACGCTATATTTGCTCACACTTCATTATGTGATATTTTTTACAGGTCAACTACTACCTAATTAAATTTAAATTGATTCATATAAAAAGCAACATGACCAAGTCCGATAAAATATTAACTCCCGAATATCTGACTGGCATGCCAAATTAGGTGGGTTACCAAGCGTTTTGACGGATAAGATTCGTATCAAATTATACAAAAGATATAAAAAAGAAACTGGATGTGAACCATGGCAATTATCAGAAGCTGTGACAAGTGTATCAGCAAAACCTCAAGCCTCCGATTTCGAGCCTATTACTTACGAAGCTAAACCCTATCCAGAATTAATTATTGATTCCGTCTTAAAGCATTTCACATACCTGAAATTTCGAAATAGTTTTAGGGGGATTGATAATTATAATTTTGCATTAGCTCAGCCATGGAACTCGCCATGCCCTATTTGTGATGGAAAACATGGGAATTATGGATTACATGGCTCATGGTACCGCAAAAATGGGAATCAATTCCCTTATGATCCTGAATTAGCGAAGTTGTATTCCCAAGATAAGTTGGAATATTGTCTTACCTGCAACACTTCAAGCAATAAACTCAAGTTCGCAATTATAGCATAGAAGCTTTATCGTGTACTCTCGCGCTTGTATTTTTTTTTATTGCTCACATGTAAAAAGTAGTGATATCAGAGACTGTCGTCGGTCGCACTTTTTTTTTTGATTCTCAGACCGATTCTACTGCGCCTTTGTGACATGTCCATCACTTTTTCCATGTACCAATTGTTTTTCTAATCAAGATCGCGATTTTAAAAACGTTTTCTTAAAAAAAATATAATTTGTTTAAGGACGTTAATTGTTAACCCCTTTTTACGCGTAAATGTCTTCTCCGCACGAATACTTCAAAAAAAGAGCATCAGATTGGAACATTACTGGATTCCTTAACGTATGTGAGCTGGAGTCATTCCAACAAATAATAGAATGCTACCTTACTTCTCTCGATAGTATTATTAAGACTGAGTCAGGTCACAAGCGTGAAAAAGCACAAATTCTCTACGATAAGTATAAGAAGGCAGGTATTAGGTTTATTAGTTGCTAAAAATATAGAGTAAGTGGCGTGGTAGAGATCTTCGAGTTCTTCTATCATTCAGGTCTTCGAGTCGAGCCACAAACTGGTGCTGGGGCACAGGTGATCTTTGAGTTTGCCTGATGTTTCTAAGTCTTCGAGTCGAGCCAGCACTAGACCCATTAGGCACAGGCAATCTTCGAGTTTGGCTGATATTCTGATGGGATTGAAAATCGGATAGAAATTACCACGTATTATTCAAGAATATTGCTAAGTATTCGAATTTTCTATTTCTAGGGACTTAGACCCGATCGCGAACTTGCGAGGAAATGGGATGATGATCGTGCGCGCAAACAAGTTCATATCCATGAGCCGACTTACTTTGATTATGGATTCATACATGGGTCCGTACAGACTATCAACGGGACTATAACTGGTGGCACGTTCGCTACCGGATCATCCAAGTCAGAAAGAGATCGGGAAAAGGTACAAATGCATTTTGTTAACTAGAAGTCGTGATAATCAGAAGAAATAGCTAATGTTTTTATTTTAATGTTATCCCTTATATTTATGTAGGATTTAAATAACGAGACCGAAAACTTCTTTCTAAGTCCTTCCGAACGACAATCATCCAATTTGTTTGGGGAAGTAAAACATGACGTTTCCAACGAATCGGACAACGAAGAGGGCGAGGTATGGTATTCACATAAAGTGATTTGTTCGGTTATAATAGATAAATTCAGAAATAGTACATACTCATTATCTCTCTTTCACTCTTTGTAGATTGTTCATCGGACAGAAAAACATAAGCGAGATGAGCCTCCTCGTTGCCTTAATTGTGATGCAGAGGTAAATGTGATAAATACATTAAATTTTATTATTGCAATGGACAATCAACAATACTTAATTCTTTTTTATTCTTTAGCTTAATAATTTTAGCTCAATCATATTTTGCCCGTACTGCGGAACAAAGATTGTATCGTCTGAGGATGATGAATTATCGCTTGATTATGACGAGACGGATGAGGAAAACGTTGTGGATGATGTAGATGAAGATGAGGATACTCCCCCGAAAGTTGACAAGGTGGCTTTCCGGATGGCTTATGATGCTATCCCAGAAACTTCGAAGTTGCGGTTGAGTAGTACGGGCAGAATTGTGGAGGACATTCTCTTTGAATTCGCCAAAGACATGGACTATGAGCAGTAAGTCTCTCGAAAGTTAAATTCTTTTTACCTTATCACTCATGATACTGACATATTATTAGTCATGCCCATTCCTACATTGTTGACTTTGACGACGAGGATATCAAAGCATTATTTGATGAAGAGGAGTGGAAAGAATTAACAAAAGATAAAATTGGAGTTCCTTCAATTCCATGCGACATTGCAAAAGAGCTAGCGAAATACGGAAAAAAAACGTTAAAAGAATTACGTGCAATAGTGATGGTACCATACCTTAAAGAGGGGGAAGAATACGATGTCAACAAACATCACGGACAAGAATGGATCCAAATGGCCATGCGAACACTTTGCAACCTGTATGGAAATGTGGATGCCCCGTTAATTAGGAGCCAATATGAAGATTGGTTCACGGTTGCGCTTTTTGGAACGTGCATCGATTTCTGTATTAGGGAACTGGGTACCGACATTAAAAGGTTTTAATCTTATTCAATAATAAATTATCATAAACTTCTGTTTTTTAATATGATTTATTTATCATTGCTTAAAGAACTGACGCACCATCACTAAGTAGTGCAAACAGGAAAAACCGTGGCCGAAAAGCAAATACGCGTACGCGAAAGCTCATCGGTCGTAAAATTGATGGAATAATACATATCGTTGACAAACCTCTCGAAGTTGGAGCCATCGAAGGAGCAAGATCCTATTCAGGAGTTTCTGACCAGAAATATCTTCTCGAGACATTTAAGATGCCGAAGACTCTTCGCGACATGTATGCTGAATTAATGAGGGCTTTAGATTATGATGATCAGAAAGCAAATAAAATTCAAGTAATCGGCATTTTACATCTTGGGTTATGGATCCAATTCGCTAGGTTGTGGCGAGCTGGCGGGTCGATTTGCATTTTCCGCAAAGACTCCCTATCTCATAATGTAGATAGTAAGTTTTCAGAAATGGGGGTAATATCCTTTCTCAAGCTTCTCGTATCAATTTATCAACATAAGGTAAGAAAAAATTTATTCTTGCAATTATGGTTCCGTTTCTCTTCAGCTTTCTATTCATTGTTTTTCGTTTTCAAAGATTATCATAAAGGACAACCTACAAATCCTGAATATTTGGAACAACAACGCTAATATTAAGTCAGGAGATGACTTGTTAAATGAATTGTTGGAATTTGGCCAATCTTCGTCATCATACTCAGTTTCTTCACCACCACGCTCAGTTAAATTTTTCTCTGATTCCTTCAAGACCCCAAGGAAGCAAAGAAAAACAAATCCAGTAAAAAAGAGAAAGTTGAAATAGATAAGTTTCAAAATGCTATCTAACACTACCATCAATGATTCTATCAATACATTGTTGTAAGAAAAAATAGCACGGATAAAATCCACCCCTCCGGGTTTCATCTTAAATCTAACTAAGGATGAAAAGGAATATGTATTGGTCGAAATCTTAAAGCAGAAAATTCGATAGTTTACTGTGCCGTTCCTCTGCACAATTTTGACGAGCTCGGACACCGTGTCCAGACTCTGCTATCAGAAA